CATAGCTCACAGGTAACACATAGAGCCGATATATAAGATAGTTCACAGGTAACACATAGATCCGATATATATGATAGCTCACAGGTAACACACACAGCCGATATATATATGATAGCACACAGGTAACACATAGAACCGATATATATGACAGTTCACAGGTAACACATAGAGCCGATATATATGATAGCTCACTGGTAACACACAGAGCCGATATATATGATAGCACACAGGTAACACATAGAGCCGATATATATGATAGTTCGCAGGTAACACATAGAACCGATATATATATATGATAGTTCACAGGTAACACATAGAACCGATATATATATATATGATAGTTCGCAGGTAACACTTAGAACCGATATATATATATATGACAGTTCACAGGTAACACATAGAACCGATATATATATATATGATAGTTCACAGGTAACACATAGAACCGATATATATATATATATATATTTATGATAGTTCACAGGTAACACATAGAACCGATATATAAGATAGTTCACAGATAACACATAGAGCCGATATATATATATATGATAGTTCACAGGTACCACATTGAGCCAATATATATGATAGTTCACAGGTAACACATAGAACCGATATATAAGATAGTTCACAGGTAACACATAGAGCCGATATATATGATAGTTCACAGGTAACACATAGAACCGATATATATATATATATATATATATATATATATATGATTGTTCACAGGTAACACATAGAGCCGATATATATGATAGCTCACAGGTAACACATACGGCCGTTATATAAGATAGCTCACACGTAACACGTAGAGCCGATATATATGATAGCTCACAGGTAACACATAGAGCCGTTATATATGATAGTTCACAAGTAACACATAGAACCGATATATATGATAGTTCACAGGTAACACATAGAGCTGATATATAAGGTAGTTCACAGGTAACACATAGAGCCGATATATATATATGATAGTTCACAGGTACCACATAGAGCCAATATATATGATAGTTCACAGGTGACACATAGAACCGATATATAAGATAGTTCACAGGTAACACATAGAGCCGATATATATATGATAGTTCACAGGTAACACATAGAACCGATATATATATATATATGATTGTTCACACGTAACACGTAGAGCCGATATATATGATAGCTCACAGGTAACACATAGAGCCGTTATATATGATAGTTCACAAGTAACACATAGAACCGATATATATGATAGTTCACAGGTAACACATAGAGCCGATATATAAGATAGCTCACATGTAACACGTAGAACTGATATAATGAGATGTTATGTGCAATTACGTAATGAGCAAGCGAACTATTGTTTTCTGTTTATATTTCTTATTAATTCTAGTATTAATTTACTGTTATTTTTTTCCATATGGACCTATTTGTCTGAAATAAAATAAAATAAACACAGAGCGGATATATAATACATGATATCTCATGTAAATATGCGGCGAGGATGCTCAATAGAAATGTCATTGAGTTACCATGGTAACAGTCCCTCTTCTAATTTGTGAATAGTTTTGGTATCACCCATTCATGTATTTTCTTTGTGACGCTGTTCGCCAATTGCACTTTTATAATTGCTATCTACCAGTAGAGCCATAGTATACATGTCCGTCGAGTCTAAGATTTCATGTAAAACAATTCGCGAATTACAGTTCATTGCAATATCTTTAACGTTTATGGCTAGAATTGAACATTAGAATAGTTTACAGTTTTTTGCGGTTGATTTTATTTGAATGTTGCTATTAACTTCAAATTGGCCAATTTCGCTCGGACGACAGTGAGTTATAAGGCGACTTGGTTTACTGACGTAAGCATGATTACGCCATCATATATTGAACTGTGGCAATACTGATAGGGACTACGATATTGGTTCTACGATAAATATCCACTGACACTAACGTAATACAACCACAGCTTCCATCTAAGGATGAAGGCGTTACCATAGCAACGTATACGAAAGTACTGCATAAGTATTGCACTTGTATGTGCATGAAAGGGTCCCACTGGGTGTTCTGCAATGGTTGGATTTTACATTTTTTATAACATCTCAGTCATACGAGGCCTTGCAGAGCAATTTGTTGTTATACAGTTTAACACGGGTTTAGGCATTAAACTCTAAAATTATAGGTTGCTTGTATTCGGGAGATCACATATGTAAATTAGTGAATATCAACACAAAGGTACGCTCGTGAAATTTTAAATTCATGCGTTATATAAAGCTATGTAGTATATGTGATGCGCATAGAAGCAGCAACGACACAACTTTGTGTCAAAAATAAAAGTATTCTCAAATACGGTGAATTGCATGAATACGCGAATGTTTTTATTTAAGTTATTTATAAATGTGTTATAAATTTAACATGATGGTTAAGAAAAACTAGACCAATCACAACGCAACGGATGCAGCGCGCAAAGACTCACGGGTAACTTACGACTGCTACAACAATGAAGGCGTATTTTTTGGGGATTTTAATAAAATGCGAAGGTCTTGCAGGATAAATGTTATTAAAATATTTTATAAATTTCCCTAAAAGAAATCATGCGTACTTTCATGTAATTTACTGTATAGATGTAACTGGAGGTATATACAAATACATCACATTAATAACAGTACATTAGAAACAGACATGAGGTATATCGATTACATTACCTGCGTACTCGGCTGTAGCGGTTTCCACATGCGAATTCCTTTAATTAGATTCATTCCTTCCAGGGGTAAGATCAGCTGACCAATAACACAATGACGAGAATATTTATCAAAATCTTGCACTGACAACAACAGCGTTCGTCTCTGTGCCTCCCTGTATGGCAATTCAAAGATGAAACTTTCCTCGAAGACCGGGTGTTGGGTTTTTCTTTTAACCGAGGTTTGGTGGCTGTTTTTCTGGTCCGGTAATAAACATAACTTAACGTAAGGGTTTGAGTGTGCCAGATCCTGTTTGTCATTACACATAGGTAGTGCGACATCCCTAGCTTCGATAATGCCAACAATTAATTGGTTTAGAACAGTTGTGTATTCTAAACTGAAATGTATCTTTCCGAGTCGATAACGCGCCATCTTTTCATCATCAGTTAGTTCCTTCTGATGTTCCACTACATCGTATAATTTGGGCTGAAATTTGTTGACATCACTAAATTGCGTGAATTCGCCATGGAACCTTCTAGTTGGCGTACGAGGCTGTACTGCTTCTTTATTAGTACTGGCAGTCCAGAACTCTATCGGTTTCATATCGATAACTGGAGCCGGAGTGCTGGGTCGTCGGGATTCACATGATGCCGTGGACGAACCTCTTCTTGAATCAACCGCTGAAGATCGTCGTGAGTCGACCGAACATCTCCTGTCATCTTCCTGTTGACGTTCACTGTCAACGTGTGTACATGATGGGCAAGGATCATCTTCTGGTTGTTTCTGGCAACAATCGCAGCAATAACACCAACTACATCGACAAACCGCATTGAACAACTTCCATAACAGCGTCTCCGGCTGCAACAGAACACATGGTAGATTTCAGATAGATAGATTTCAGTACTAGAAATGAGCTCTATCATGCAGAATAGCAAATAGAAAAAACGGTAATATGGAGGCAAGAATTCACGTGATCTGTCGAGATTGTCAGATTTAGATAGGACATCGATTAACCCTTGAATACCACACCCAAATCATAGTTAGGACCTCCATACACTCGACAACTACATTTGGTCATTTAAATAATATAACCATTCCTAAGCCACGTTTCTTTTTATAACTACATAATATGCGAGTAGGATTCTAATTCTGATTCCAATTATGTATAATTGCATCCAATTTAAACAAATTAATTTCATTGTGCACGAAATATAGCTTTGGTGTATTTACTAAATTGAAATCTTGTGATACAAAGTGTGAAATTGGCGACAACAAACTCCAGCTGATTTGTAAAAAAATAAGTGTAGCCAGAAAATGAACTTAATCAAATTAAAATCTTGAGTTGAGTGTCAGTTAAGATCAGCAAACACATAAATACGCTTTAGTTTGTACAGCTTTTGCTTACCTCATTTTCTGGTTCCAGCTATATTGAATGAAAAAAAATATAGTGGAAAATCAAATAAGTTAGCCATTTAATTATTTAATTACACTATGATCAGTATTCTGTCTATACCGACTAATACGGTATATACCGACTAATACGGTATATACCGGACTGAATGTCTGATGTCATCAGATGTTGAACATATACTTCAACAATATAAAGAGACTCGTAAAAAAACAGTGCGTTATTGTGAAATGCGTAAATGTTCACCCTCACTCATCATAATACAGCAGACCACGGATGAATAGATACAAGATTTGATGGCGTATACGTGACATTATTCTCAGGTAACGATAGGCATATATGATTACGTTCATTACTCGATAGAAGATTAGGGTCGCCCTGCAGGGTTATTTATCTCGAGAACGCTTCGCGGACGGATCAATTCAGATATGGCTGCTAACATGCATATTTACCTCGCTAACAGAGTCCAAGTAGTTTTATTGAATTTCCTTACCCACATTTCCGTTACTTAATATTATAAATAGCTTCTTAAATACATATATGTCTAGTGGTCGCTCGCCAGGATGAATCCAATCAGCTAAGGCAGATTGAAAAAGTGACGTTTTATTTATATCAGTGCCGTTTACAGAGTGTGGGTTGTGAATCAAATCCATACGACCCCCGCCTCTGGGGCTCGGCATCTATCAGAAAATAGTTCCTATCATCTAGTAACCATCCATAAAACAGTATGCACCGCGCTTTATCAAGCGAATTCAAAAAGACATTTTTTGCTAGCGCACATATGACATGTTATCGAAATTCTATTTTTAGATCGTGCAATGTGTTGCACAGATTTTAAGTGGATAAGATGGTTGAACTATGCTTGATATAAGTCCATTAATATACACCATGCACATAGCATGATGACGTATTTCACTGTGAGAAAATAGTGCGGGTATCGCCCCACGGGTATCACCTTTAGATCGAAACATTCAAAAATATATTCCGTGGTTTGCAATCTGGCTTCGTCAGTACAGATTTACCAACTCCTAGGCATGCAGAGCAAGTATTATTTCTTAGACGTTATAAGGCTAAATAATCCGTGCAGTTTAAATCATGTCACGTCCAGGGCTGACATGAGTGATTTTACACAAACTAGCACACTGAATAAATGTTCGTTATTACTCAAGATGAGGGCAGACCCTTGATCGTATGAATATACTTCATTAACCGAGGGGCGAGGAGCAAGACGATAGCGAGTACTTGAAGAAGAATGTATTTACCTTTGCGTACGCAGACATTATGAGAAATAATCTGACAACCCATGTACCAGTAAGACTGTGTCTGCTACATTAGACCATCTGTCATTATATCTACAGAAATACAATTATCACTCGTCAGATTTGGTGAGGTTTAAATGGCGTTCATGCAATATTCATCCCAGTTGAGAATTACATTATTACCGAGATGCAGACACTTAACTGGCTTTCAACGGTAATAACAACATCAATGAATATAACAGTCACAATGCCAGGCTGACTGGCTGCTAACAACATGCATATCACGTTCTCCCCTCGCCACCAACATGCACATATATCTAGTGGAAAACTCACCTTAATCCCGATGTATGTAGCTCGTCATTGTAAAACAAAAACAGCATCGAAATAAGAAATACACCATCCGTGTTCAACTGTTTCTGATTGATTTTGTTGTTGTTCGCATCGTATAGTGAACCCAGGCTTTAGCTTTTATGTGCTTTATAAATGTTTTCAAGGCCTTGCGCAGATCCTTGCTCTTGGTAATTGGACGATTCTATTTTTCTCACAGAAAGGTTGCATTCAAACGATGGGGGGATAATTATGCGCGTATTTCAGTTGAATTCAACAAATTTCTCTTTCTATTGACTGAAATTAAATCATTAAATATATTTCAGTCGTGTATTAGTTCACATTGCTGGTTTATTAAAATGTATTTGTTCATATGGCGTACTTTACGTCATCGGGTATTGCGAGTTGCTATGATGCCTATATGGTTAATCTCCATACTTACATATTTCTTCGATGGCATCGACTCCAGGTGTCAAGCTCTAGAAATACTGACTTCTGTGTGTATCCTATTTCACATCAGATATTCATCCAATGTATCCTTTTAGCAATACAGTATTCATATTTATTATAAGCAAGACTCTGCCGAATTCTTTTTTTTAAATTTAAATTCGATAACATTGAATCCGCTAGTTTTCATACATGTAACACAGGGAGAGAAACTGGCTTCAGAGATTTAATACACTAAAGACAGTCACATTATTTAACACGCTAATGGATGGGTTAAATGATTGGCATTCAACTATTAGTCCGACAAATGTCCATTTTGGGATGAGATTATTGTCTGACATTCACTCTACTCTAGTAGTATGTTGCTGTCGCATTACATTACTTTTGTAATATGTTATAACTTGTGATGAACGGTCTACTGTACATGTTGCATATGGGCTGGCAGTAGTGTAACGCCAATATTCAATATAATACGCTCATCATAGAAGATATCTTTAATTAATGTGAGAAAGTAATATTTTTACATTTCATTAATTATAAAAAACAAAATATTATATAGGGTACTTGTTTTCAACACTATTTGCGATTAACCATCGGTCTGCGCTAAAATCTCCCTAAACCAGATCTTAACTGTACGATCGACCTGTCAATTTCAATCGACTGCGCTGGGAACATTCTTTGGTCAAAATAACTCCTTTACACTCTCTACAATGTACAGTATTTCTCAATACATCCTCTACATCTACTCTGTGATATAGGCCAAGTGGGATTAGATTTTCTGTAATCTGTAGCGAGGGAAGGGTCGAAATTGCTCCTCTATCTTTACTCTGTAATCTAGACAAGACCAGATTAGAATAATTCCCTATCTGTACTTCATAATCTGGACCAAGACAGAATAGAATCCCCATCTACACTCTGTAATCTGGACTAAGACAGAATAGAATCCCTATCTACACTCTGTAATCTGGACTATGTAAGAATAGAATCCCTATCTACACTCTGTAATCTGGACCAAGACAGAATAGAATCCATATCTACACTCTGTAATCTGGACCAAGACAGAATAGAATCCCTATCTACACTCTGTAATCTGGACCAAGACAGAATAGAATCCCTATCTACACTCTGTAATCTGGACCAAGACAGAATAGAATCCCTATCTACACTCTGTAATCTGGACCAAGACAGAATAGAATCCCTATCTACACTCTGTAATCCGGACCAAGACAGAATAGAATCCCTATCTACACTCTGTAATCTGGACCAAGACAGAATAGAATCCCTATCTACACTCTGTAATCTGGACCAAGACAGAATAGAATCCCTATCTACACTCTGTAATCTGGACCAAGACAGAATAGAATC